AACTTTTTATCCCTTAAGTTGGCCATAAATTCTAAATCAAATATGTACCTCCGCACCTTTCCTTCACGAAGTTGCTCACCAACCATCACTTTTGTGACCATGCTCATGACTTACTTACAAAGACCATATCCAATACTTAATGTACTATCCAATTAAACAACTAATTAATTAAAATTTTTAAACACACCGTTGTACTTATCCATTTTTTAAGACCAAGACTTTGGCATTTGACCCTAGTTAGGTAGTAATGGTACATCTCAATGACATACCTACTAAAAAAAGTGTTATTATATCAAACATAATGCTCCATAATTATCAAAAAGTAATGTCACATTACTTACTCTTCATCCTCTACTTCATTGGTCTGTCTAGTGCAATATTCATATATTTGTTGTTCTTTGGTAAGTCTCCCTTGTATTGGTTCTTTTAAAAAAGGTGACCAATTTACCTCAACCCTTTTCCTTTCAGACCTTCGAATCATTGTGCTTTCAACTGTTCTCCTCCTCTTCTTGCCATCTTGTCTTTCATCACTTTTTTCCTTACTATTGGAGCCTTCATCTTTATCTTCTTTAGATCCAGCTTTAGTTGCAGCTTCATGTCCACCGTCATCCTCATCATCATCCCCAGCTTCATGTGTATCTTCAGCTTCACGCCTTTGTCTCCATCTTCATCATCTTCAGCTCATCTTTATCTCCACATTCCTCTCCCTCTACTTCTTCTTTGCTTGGTTCGTCAAACCTCACGATAGCTTTACTATAAGATATTTGAAGCTTGTCAAGACTTTGTTGCAACTTCAGCACCTTACTTGCAAAGGTATTAGCAGATTGTAAAAAGTCTTCATATATCTCCCTCACACCCTAACCAAGTTTCAACACCAAGCTTATTAACCAAATAAAAACCAGGACATACACAATAAATTATGGACATATATATACCGGGTGAGTTATCGCTGCAAGTGAAGGTAAAACTTCAAACACTTCATTAGTCTGACCACCATAAAGAATGCCATGGATGCTTTCTTTTTTCAACTTAACCTGTTTTTACACCATGTGTTGGTTCCACAAATGCATAACAGGCGTTCCACCATCTACTGATGGTGTTGGGCCCAATAGAAAATGGTGCATGTAAAATAGCTGCACCAGAAAGATAATTATAATCTAACCAATAGCAAATAAATTGGAACAAAATATAGAAGGATTACAAATACTCTATACCAGTAAGAAAAATAAGCATCCTCCTATATTATTCTTCCTTCTGCCACTCCTTAATGCTCTCTTGTAAGTCAAAATTTCTCTAACAAGCTCCGACAACAGAAAAGATGACCAATCATATTCTTAAATATTTTTCTTTCCCCTCAAACTTTTAATATGCCTCATACTAATAGTTGTACTTGTTGTGAGACAAAAAAAAAAGTTCCAAGAGTGAATAACAAAAATACTATTTTAAAATTTTTTTCAGCCTTCCTAGATATTATCATACTCTTCAACTCAGTGAAGGGTTTACCAAGATAATTCGTCTTCAATACTTCAGATGCTTCCCTGTCATCATCTAAAGAGACAGCTTTCCTACCATAAGGCACACCTAAGATAGTGTGCACATCCTTCCCATCAGCACTTAATTTCTTCCCTCTAATTCCAAATGTTGAGGTTGGTGTGTCAAAAGCAATAATTACTTATTCACATAACTCCCTCGATAGTTTATTACATTTAAAATCCAAGAGATTTGGAACCCCATTTTCTTGACCTTAGTACATAACCTTTTATGTTTGTATATGTATTCCACAACTTCCTTAAACTAGCCAGGAGAGCAACGTGTATTAAATGGAGTCTACAAACCAAGAGGAATAATGTAACATTGTACAATGCATAACAATCATATTCATAAAAGACTCATTAATTTAAAACAAATACAAGTGAGTGATATCATTGCCGTGGAACAAGACACTGATTCCTTGCCTCGTCCATCTAATGAAGCCATATTTCTATATCTTTCTTGTTCAACATTTGATAATTTTTGCCAACTTTCTTGCATCGAATCATTGGCTTTTATAAGACCATTGAATTTTTCTTCATTTTTTTAGAAACTCTTTCTTGAAGTTGTCGTATCCAGATTTTTTTGTTGTTGTTGCTTTCTTGTTGTCTATAATTTCTTGGTGTCTCAGTTGCAAATTACTTTTTTCTAGTCTGCAACAAAAGCAAATGAAACAGATTCAGCCAAATGTCACACCCAAAAATACACCACATACATATACACTGTTATGGAATGTTGTCTGCACAATGGGATATTTAGGAGGCAAGTTGTACAAATTCATCTATTATTATAACAAAGCCTTCGTTACTAAGGAGTTAAATCCATTGAAAAGAGTTAGTCTCTTATATCCTCACAATATGGTGCATTAATATTTGAATCCTTGTTTAAGACATGTTCACATTTAATACTCAAATAATAGAATCACTTTTAATAAATAAAAAGATACATGTACATAACAAAAGAAAAAACGAAAGGGACTTGGGTTTTAGTGAGAGGGCTCAAATATTGTATTAATATCTAGTAATGGACTTGAATATTAAAATTACAAAGTGAAAAAGAAAGGAAATAGACTTGCAAGCTAACCCCATACTCCACTTGAACTCTGCCTCTGTTTTGCACTTTGGCTAGCCTGTTCAGACATTGCCTTTTATCGTTGGAGGAGTTCAAGTTCCTTCTGTAATGTTCCAATTGTTTGGAGCTTCTATCTTAATTCAGCAACCTCTAGCTGCAATCTCAAACTTTTAGTAAAAATTACTTCATCTAGATCTGAGCTGCTGATAAAATGTCGAGATTAAACTATATTGAAAACAAAATTATCTTCCTAGGACTTCAATAAAAGACGAGATCTTAAGGGCATCATGTATATGCCCAAACCAATTACCAAGTTGAATAGTGTCTATGTACAATAAGCACTTGAGACCCATTTTTACAAAGAACAGAAAATATTGAAATTCAAATCCTTGATCACACAACAAAAGGGAGAAAGGGTTCCATCATAACCTTAGCTCTGCATGCATCATATCAATATCCAACTATTCAATCAATGTTAATATTCAAAAATGTTTTCACAAGAAAGGAGCAGATGATTTTAGGGGTGAAAAGCTGGACTCGGATAAGAAATAAAAAATGATTTTAAAAAACTACTAAGTACATGTTTGGATAACAAAGATGATCAATTTTAAAGCCGAAAACCGTGAATTTGTGTGAATATATCCAAACACTCCTATTATATGCCAAAATTAATCATGAACTCAAAACCATGGTTTTCTTTAAAATATCCAAATACCTATTATCCATGTCAAAATGAATTTTAAACACTCTTATGTGATGCTTGGATATTTTTAAGAAAACATCATATTAATCAATTTTTTTCATTTTGGCAAAAAAAAAAAAATCAACTTTCTCCATAATCATTTTTTTCTGTCATAATCAAACATATGCTAAAGCAATTCCAAGTTCTATTTTTTCTTATTCCATTTTTTGTTCTTAAAAATTATATGCAATGTCAAAACCTAGGCATAAAAACCACAAGAAAAGATAGATGGAAGCAGTTATGTATACCTCAAGTTTGAAACACTTTGACTGCCCAACAGCAAGCTGAGTACGTACTGATTGGAGCTCCTAAATTAGCAGTGCAAAGTGTGAGAACTTTTGATTGAGTTACAGAACAAACAACATAATCCAAATCTCAACCAGTACACGGAACTCTTTTGGTTTATAACAAGTACTACTAATACATATATGCAGTATCTATGCAGTATATTCCCTCCAAAACCCTTAGAAAAATCAATCTACAACTTTACATAGAAGCATATGACTTGTTAGATTTCTCAGTAATAAATCAAACAAGCAAGCTGGAACGGTATGGTAAATTTCTTTAGTTTTACCAGCATTACCTACACAATTTGCTTAATATATACTCAAACCGTGGTATCCTACTTCAAGAGGTTCCAACATGGAAAGGGATTTCAACTCTACAAGTCATTTACCTTGTAAAATTCAGAGTTATGAGCCTCAGCTTCTGCTAATTCTTGCTTTAGCTAAATAGTTTGTACTTTCTCCTTGTTGAGTGATGATTTCAATTCTTCTTTCTCAGCCTTCAGGGTGGTATTTAGCTAGGAAAATGCTAGGAATCCTCTAAAATGCACACAGAGAGACAATCAAATATCTAGATATTTGATTGTCATTTTCCTAAAAATTAAGCATTCAGTAAACAAAAGATAAGAACACAACAAGTAAATGACAGGAGAAAAATAACGAACTTGAGCTCTGCTTGGGCAAGAAAGGTAGCACAAGGAAGAGACGAATAGCTTTCCTCTACTTGGTTGAAAGTGATTACTTAGGGCAGAGAAGAGATGACAGATAGGATTGTAATAGAGACGATGGTCGGACAGCGTTACTCACTTGCAATGGGGCAAGGAAGAGACGATGGACGGGTGCCTTTCCTTGCTTGCAATGGGCAAGGAAGAGACAACGGACAGACGCCTTTTCTTGCTTGCAATGGGCCATGGAAGAGACAACAGACGGATGCCTTTACTCGGGGTAAGGAAGAGACGACGGTTGGACGCCTTTACTTGCTTGCAATGGGGCAGGAAAGAGATGACGGTAATCACTAGGGCAAAGGAAAGAATGAGCAATTTCAAAATTTCACTAGCCAAATAAGAGTGTTTTAGTCATTTCTCATTATATTAAAATGTCACTTAAGGACCTAAAGACTTAACTGGTATTTTAAAATATATTGGAACTTAATTAGTATAAAATTGATCCCTTGAGACTTGATTGTCCATTTCTCCAAAATATTTCCCTTGGTCATTAATGTAAATAATATTATGAGCATTTTTATTAATTTTTTTAGTGTAGGTTATTAAATATTGTTGGTCGATGGTTTTGCAGGTATGTCTGCCTTAGTGCTCATAAAAATTTCTCGTCATTTTTGGGCCAAAATATTTCCCTTGGTCATTAACTAATCATACAGAGGATTTCTCATTTCCCCCTTTTAGCAGAAAGCTCTTCCTTGCAAGCTCCTGTTCTGCTTCCCGAGCATTCCTCCAGAACGATGTCCGCCGCCGCCAGGTCCTTCATTCGGTCCGCTGCATCCCGAAACATTAGGAAGTTAGATTTGGCTACGGGCGCTAGAGTAAGTCGATCGACATGTTCGCCGTTTTCGACCCTAAAGCAGAAGTCGCTGTCTAAACGCATCTTCAGGTAATGATGAACAACCCTTACGTGACACCTCTCTTCTCTCTTGACTAAACATTGAAAGCTTACAACGTCTCCGAATTTGCTGACTTTTGTTCTCGGTAAAGGTTACCTGTGGAGTTGAGCTGTTGTGTGGAAATGATGCTCCCATATCACACTGCCACTGCTTCCGCATTGCTCACCTCCATGCTCTCCGTATCTCACCAATCGTATGGTTGGAACCCTGAAGGTATTCGTTCTTTCTCCTTACGGAATTTTCTGTGTTTATGGGATGCGTCCGACATATCTTGGTTGTTGGTCTGATTGGATTTAAGGGCTTTGTTTTTGTTGGTATCATTTGAGATTCCTAGAGAAATTTAACAAGGGAAGAACTTTTTCTCTTTAGGCTTCAGGCAAGCTAGATTATACTTTTTTGCATCTTCAATTATGAAATATAATTGGACTTCTATATTTTTTAGGGCCGGCCAAGGAATCATGATGTTTATGCTTCTTCTTCATGGAACGAGGTTTAAAATAAAGCTGAATTTTACCATGTCACAATCTGATATATGAAGTGTTTAAAGCATTTAATACATGTTCTCTGTAACATGCTCTATAGTTTACACTCTATTAGCTCGTTGAGCCTTCAGTCATTTCTTACCTTCTTATCGTTGCACCTTCTCTTCTTTCTCCTTTTGTTTCTTAGCTAACAAACATGCCGCTGGAATTAAGGTATAATAAGATGGAAGAATGTCTTTTTATACAACGGTATGATGGAAGATTTGACTGTTTGTCCGTACAATCGTTTGTTCTCTTTTCATCTGTTGGATGGGAGAGGGTAGATGCTCTCTCTCTTGATCCGACGATGAAAGGATGTGAGTCATTTGGCTTTTCTTGGGCACGGCAAAGACTAGATGAGGATCAAGCATCAAATATGTGTTAAAGGGTTTGAGAACTGCTCTGCAGTAAATTGAGGAGTGGATTTATATTAGGATTTATTAAGATGATAAATACCATTTCTCTTGAAAAATTATTTGGGCTAATGATGCAATTCTATGGTTTTTCTCGATATATTCCCAAACACATAGATCTGCATACTGCAGTCTGCTGCATCTCCTTACAACAAAAATTTTCACCAGTTACCCTTTCTTATACCCTCAGAATAGAACTATCACGATTTTTTTTTTTTTGGTAAGTAGAGTAACTCTCTGCATTAGCATGGAGTTCAAGATGAACTAACCTGTTCATGACTTGTAAATAATCTGGCTTCCTCTTATAACTTTTATAGACTGGCTATATTTATATTGATATATTTACTTGTGCCTTTCATCTTCTGAAACAGATACCTAACCCATTTAAATAATGGTTTTAAATTAGTTTGCAAGGATTTGAATTATATTCTGGAATAACGTAATTCTTTCAAATTTTACTGGATGTTGATATGATTTCTGGAGAAACTGGGTAAACCTGCAAGGAGATGAATTGCCTCTAATTTAAACTAGGCAAGTCAATATTCACTTAATGAAGTTATCATATGAAGATCATACTGATTTATTTTATCATCTCAGATTGCAATCAGGATATCTAGTGAATGGCAGAGGATTCAAGAAAAGTTATATATAGATGCGCTCTTAAAAAGGTGGTGAAGAAAAATTTGTAGGATTTCAAATGCTTCCTTCATGCTTGTATTTTGTAATTTGAAACAAGCAATTACTCAGAGTTGTTAAATGACCCTATTATCCTGACTCTCCATAAATAAATTTATACGCTATTAGGGCACTTTGGTTTCATTCTAAAATTGATATATTTATGCCATTATATAATGGAGTCTCCATGCACGCAGTGCAGGAAGCTGATAAATGGCTTACCAAATAAGAATGCAGTAACATGAATTATCATGGCCTCATGGATTACTCATATCTTTCTTAAATAAGACTGCATCTTAAAATTTTATTGCCCACCTGCTTACGTTAATCGAATCCTTTCGAAGCAGTTATGACATAGTTTTTATCTTTCGGCCTGTGTTATATCCCTGGGCTTCTCGCGTTTCTTAGAATGTTAAAAGTATTATTGCTTGTTTGTTCTTATACTTGTAGAAGTTGTATTGCTTATTGGATACCAAAACTTTGCGATGCACATTTGAAACTAACCTCTGCTACGAGCTGGGACTACAAGTGTCCCACGCACTCTAGAGAATGAAATTCTTTAACATACGGGATATGGTTCCATGCTATTGCTTTGAACATTGTGCGATACTGCGAGTATTGTAATCTACCTATTTTTGTTTTGGCAACCACCTTTTTGATCTCGCTGTTTCTTTTGGTAGGATTGGAAAGTTACAAAATGGTATCCACTTCTTTTGCTTTGACTCGTTAATTTTATGGTGTGGGTTTAGACCATTATTATTGCGGCCATACTTAAATATGATTGATTAGTGACCTGCCCTTTTATTTATCTCAAATTGCACATTTCTTAAGTTATCTTCTTCAAATGTAGATGGCTGATTGTTGTTTGCGGGTGAGATATTCTTGCGACTACATTTCATGGATTTCGCTGAACTTTGCCAGGCCTACTGGGAGGGATATCGTTGTTCCCTTGTTTTGAAGTGAAGTTTCTGAAAACTAAAATGCACAAGCATCCAGAGCATGCTATAAAGCTGGAAATGAGTGTTCTATTATTAAAATTTTCTTTTGGCCATAATTACTACATACAGTTGAAATGTTTCTTGACTGCAAATTAAATGATACATTCCTCTCCGTTCTTGTGAATATGTTTGCCGGGCGAATACACAACTGATTTGGATGATATGCTAGTTGCAAGGCTCAAGACCTGTTTCTCGCCTAGGGTTTTTGAATGGAGATTTCTGGGAGCAAGGAGCCCGCCGCCTGTAGATGTTTTTTCATTGGGACTGACCATGGCTGTTGATGTAAATAATCACAGAGGTCAGATTTATTATCTAATTTGTCTAGCTAGACGTGTTTGGAATCCCAATGGTTTGTCACTTAGTTGTCACTTTTTTTCAGCATGCATTTTGTTTATGATAATGCAGATACGAAGGAAACAATTTTTTTTTCCCTTTTCAGAATGTAATATTCGTATGAGGAGTCTTGTTGATATGATAAACTAGTGTCCAATTTCATATACGATTTGTACATCACACTTTAAAGTAGTACAGCAGCATGTTGATATATTTCGGAAGAATTTACTTTAACTGTGATGCAATAAATTAAACAACGAAAAACGAAGAAATTTAACCACAACCGATCCGAACATTATAAAAGTGAAAAAATCTTAATTATCTAGTCCTGGTTTATGGGATGTGAACGCAAAGAGTGCCTAAGAAAAGCCTGTATATTGTATTCAACTGCAAGCAATTCTTGATCCAAAGAAGTATTCACACAATATCATACCTCCCTAGTGTTCATTGGATACAACTACTGACAAAATTAACAAGTCAGAGTCCCTTAACACAAACACCCTTCAAGTGGCATCAATTTATCCCCAAAAAGATGCCAAAGAAGCGAGAAGAGCGAGAAGGAATTACATGCTAATTTGAGTAAAAGAAGGAATCCCAATCCATCCTTCAAATTAAAAGTTTTACCTTGGACAATATCAGTTGCTTGGTAATCAAATCATCAAGTCATCTTTGCACTCTAAAATGAAATCATTCTTCAACTACGTTCACCAATTCATATTCCACCAGAGAAAGGTTATTATCCTCTTTGACTTCAAATTTTGCAGGTTCTGTCACCTCAATTCGGCCCCATTTGTCAACAGCTAGCCTCATTGATCCCTTAAACATGTCAATCTTTGCATTTCGAAGGATTAGTGTGGTCTCTGGCTTCATCAAGTCCACTGTAGCAGCAGCAGAAAAACAAGAATCAGATCATTACATGATTGAACATATCTGAACATATTTGATATCTCTCTTCGCTTAAGTTATGTTTGGATCGGGGAAATGGAGAAGGGAAAGTTTTATTTTTATAGGGGAATTTTTTTTCAGGCAAGAAGGGAAAATGAAATTAAATGACTGTATTGTCACTTAACATCCCAGTTTCCTTCCTTCTTTCTGTGTCTAATTTCTTTGCCATCTTTCCTTTCTTTTCCCCTCCCAACTTCCAAACCCTAGATACAATACCTATAGTCATATCGCTGATCAATTTAATTAATTGTGTCTACTTAAGGCTCCAAATTTCATGCAAGTTAAACTAAATCTCCACAGATAATATAAGACCCAATCTATTGCATATTAATGAGTCTAATCCCATTTTTCTTCAGCTTTCAGTTACCTAATTAAGCCATGAATTCGTCATCGCTGTCGTCTTGTTTGCTTTCTATGCTCTACCAAGTAACTAAACGAACAGAAATTTCACGCTTAAGGATCAACGTTGACAACACTATCTTTCTAATCATTAATAATCAATGACTTGTTCATTATGTTAATGAGGTTAAAGAATGTGGATTTGGAAAGGGAGAAAAACACTTGAAAACCAAAAATACAAAGTTGTTTATCCGCAATTTACTGGTTTACCTGGAACATAATTCTAGCTCTTTTTGCTTCAAAGAAACCAATACTGTCAAAGGAAATTGACAAAAGAGGCATTGCTGGCTCGGTGGTGACATGAATAATGATGACATTGGAACGCATCAACTCGATCAAATAGTAAAATAAAATAAAATAAAATAAAAAATTGGGGTAACAAGTTCACTGCAGCTCAAGAGACATCAAATACCATTCCCGTAACCTTCAAAACAATACTCTTTCATCGCAAAATCCCATAATAAAACCATGTTGTTACTTGCTCCCACTATCCTACTACCACACACGTTTTCCCAGGCTAGCAATTTCACTCCCTTGGACAAAGCAACTCGAAGGGGGGGGGGGGAATTCATCCTTGATCAATAAGATTGGCAAAACTAACATAAATAAATGACCAAGGTTCGCTTTAGATATAAAGTTTCACGACCTGCACAGAGCCTGGTGAAATCTAATGAATTTGACTCCTGATACATCAAAAAAGTTTTGACCTTTAAATGTGATTGTGATGATTGTGATGCCATGAGGATGATTTCAACAAGGTGGGATAAAGATTTCACTTATCCAACCCAGATAACAAAAACTAGCGCTTCTCATCGGGGCAGCCACATAATAATCACCACCCTAAATCCAGATGTGCAAAACACCTCCGAAGTCCCACTTTCTGATTTCCAGAACCAGTACATCTTACAAAAACGGAAGAGAATCCCAGAGACAAGATCGCAGTTTCCCAGAATCCACAACAATGTAGATCCGATCAACGAAATCCCAAATAAAAAATGAAACATTCGTGCAATCAAAAGGCAACCCACAATAAGTTTTCATTTTTAATAATGAAAAAGTTATATATATATATATATATAAAGAGGAAAGTGGGGTGTCAGACCTTGTTCATTTCGAGCGGTGAAAAGGATGGCGGCGGTCTCGTCGCCGACGAGGCACTCTGCGATTAGAGTTGGACGGGGATCCCGAGAAGATGTGGAGGGTCGTCCTTTCTGCAAGACGGTGTTGGCGGACACGACCTTAACGACCAAGTTGTGACCGTTGGTTCCAGGTTTCAGTTGATCTACTTTAACGAACACCGGCTTCCTCTTTGCAGGTGTGTTAGCAGTACCTCCTTGCTCATTCGACGCCATCGATTCCGATCCCGGATTTCTTAGCTTCTCTTTCACTGATTCACAATCCCAGCTGAAGCTATTTCCAAATTATCATTCACTTGCTTGCGAGCAGGAGTGAAGACTCGTGCCGATAGATGGTCATTTCTCCTTTTTCTTTTTCCTCTTCGTCATAAAGCGACACGTCGTTTGTGCCAAATCTGGAACGTCACAACTCACGTGCACCCTTCAGGGGGGAATCTGTAAACAACCCCATGGTGCGTTTATATTGTCAAGGTTCAACGTAATGAAAATAGATTACACACTAAATCAATTAAGGTATTAATTCAAAAGTTAATAATTAAAAATATAGTTAAATTATAATTAAATTAATTATAAATAAAATATTTCATTAAATTTGTTAATATATTGAATTAACAGTTTATTAATTCAATCAAATTGATCTGAATTTTTATATTATAACATTTATGCACCTACCCATTTTATAATGTAACCAATATATATATATATATATATATTATGTTGTTTAAAATAAGTGCATTTTCTTATTTTAATAAGGTATCAAATGCTTTGTTTCTCAAATTACCACATACTAATGTATGTATCTATTAGAGCATTAGTTGTCAAATAAGAACTAGGAGCATTTTAAGAAAGTATTTATTCGTGGTTGAACAACAAATACCAGGCATTCTAGAGACATCGGGTCTCAATAGATAACGAAAGGGTCTCGAGTTTCCTTACCACAGTTCGCTTGGATGTAAAAAGATAATAGGCTTTAGTAGAACAAGTGTATAATTTTATTAAAGTGTTTGAAAATTACAGATTACAAACTAAGAACTAAAAAGGGCTAGTCAATGTAAATCATGCGAGTCTTAATCGAGTGTTGACTGCCTTCTCTATTTTTTTTTGCTTCTTCCTATTTATAGTGTTTGATAACATATGCCTTTTCTTTGGAACTTAACACATTCTACCGAAGATTCAGGAACCCTGTGAAACTTATGGCATGGTCTCTCCATTTTGATCAATAGCCTGTTTCATCGAACTACTTGGGCATAAATTTTGGCATTACTTAGGATCGTGTCTTTGTGCCAGCGGTTTAATATTTAAAGCTAACAGGGTTTCGTCATGTTTATGTGTTGTGGACTTCATTGAGCTTTGAGGCCGACCTCTTTTGTTTATATTGGGCCTGATGTTTTAATTACTCAGCCCAACTAGCCTCATGACCTATTTGAGTGACATTTCATATCTAGCCCAAACAATGCCCCCTGCGTGCCAATGGTTGGTAACATAAGCCATGTGGCACGTTTGAAAAAAATCAAAATATCGCTTCATTTCTGAGCGCCCTTTATCAATATAAACTTGTTTTCAAATTCTGGTCACTTCTCTTGCTTTTTTTGCCATTTCTTGAACTTCACATCTTCAATCTACCAAAATTTCTTCTTACCCTAACCTTCAAATGGCTTCGTCCGCTCCTTCTGCTGCCACCCGTTCCTTTACTTCCATTGGTAGCCTGCCAGATTCTCTAGCAACTATCTATAACTCGGTTAACCAATTAGGCAGGCTCGTAACAGTATGTATTTTGTGGTCTGAAAAAACCCTTTTTTCTATTAGTCTATTTTTCTATCTTAATTCTCGTTCATTTCTTTTTTAGAAGGGTTCGTCATTCCACGAATCAGTGGCCTTCTGGTAAGTTTCTCGCTTCTTGTGTTTAGCCCTTCCATTTTATTGAAAAGTGCTCTAACTGTGCTTCTTTTTTGTCCAGCACTTTGCCTTCGAGTTTTTAAGTGACGTCGGATATTTGACGTCCAACGCTAATGCCCCTACGCAGCCGAACCTATGCCCATTGACCTCTCTTCTCGACTTAGTCTTGGCCCAGACGACCTCACCCTTCCCCGAGTCATCTTATAGAAAGCTCAAGAACTAGCCTTGGTCCTTTAGTGCTTAGGTCAATTGGATGAAGCGTTTGAAGGCTGATCATGCGCAAATAGAAGGAGATGGGTCTATATGACCTAATTCAACTGTCTCTGGTTGATGTTAATGTCCCCATGGACTTTCTAATGGCCCTCCTCAGTTTTTAGGCTCCGAGCTGTAATGCTTTCATCTTTGAGCTTAGCCCGATGTTCCTCATGGACTTTTTGATGTCTTTATATTCTTAGGGCTACCTATTATCTGGGAAGAAAACTTCTACACCCATTCCCGAGAAGCACGACTCCTACATCACCCTTCTTGCTGACTTGGAGAGCAAGATCAAGGTCGCAGGCTCCTATACAAAGATTATAGAGCTGTTCTCTAAAAAACCAGCCTCTGAGCCCATCACTGCCACAGAGCATCTGGTCTTCATCGGGATCCTAATCAGTCAATGGATCCTAGCCCTGGGGGGAGGGAAGCCCGTGTAGCTGCATCTACGGTTTGCCCAGTCCTACTCTGTGGCAATTAGATAGCCTTGGGGACTATATTTTTATGCCGTCTCTATAACGGCATGAGGGAGTCACTGATCAAAAAGTCCTTCAGCAATTTCAGTGGGCCCATCTAGTTCTTAAAGTTGTGGACTACAGCTTACTTCCCCAACCTTCGACGGGAGCCCTTTCTTGATGATTCCCGCGCCAACCACCCCTTTACTTGTCTCTTAAGTGGTCATCCATTGGTGGAGTCGAAGAACTTATTCAAGTATATGGTGGAGAAGAAGAACAAGCTCGCCAACCCTCTAAGGGACGAGGTCTTTCTCTCAGCCACCACTCCCCAGAAGATGTAGCTATCGTATACTGGCTCCTCCTCCAAGTCTCTCAGAGTATACTTGGAGTCTTATCATCCTCAACTAGTGGCAGGCTAGTTTGGACTGAGCCAGTGCATCCCTCAAGGCTTGTCCTCCTAAATTAGTGTGGAGCTACTGGACAGAGAGGCTATTAATCAGATAGCCGTTCCACTCACCACCAGAGGTAGTGCAAGGTGGAACTTGTAGATAGAGACGCCTGCCTCCGCTTCAACAAATGGTGGCCTCAGCACTGTAAGTGCATAATAAAGAGTCACACCAGTAAGTATTTCCTCCGCATCTATCTTATTTTTATACTTTTCATTTTGTTTCCTTAGACTAAACTTGTATTGTTTTATGTAGGCCGTGATTGGACATAGTCTCATGCACTGGTGACCTTTTTAAAGGGTAACATTAACGCCCCTACCACTTTTGAGACCTTGACGGCCCCTTCTGTAAGGACTGTGGTCCAAGGGATGGAACAAGACGATGCTTCCTTCCAAATTTATGTTCCCCCGGTCTCTAAAAATCTAGGGCTAAGAAAAGCTCCTCCAGTTGCCTCTACCGAGGAGACATTCCAGACAAAAGAAAGTAGGCTCTGTCCCCCTCTCTTAAGGTGAAGAGGAGAAAGAAGACAACGCCCCTGCCGGTTGACCAACCTGCCTCTACCCCTCTTCAAATCAGCCCCACACCTCAAAAGGGGAGGTGCACACATAAGCACCAACGGACGATGATCCTGTCAGCAGAATCTGATGATGGCAGATTGAGTTCAATTCAACAAGGGAAAAAGGAGACCTAGCACCCCGATCTCCAAATGGTCTCCTTCCAAGCTGCCACCACTCCTGAGCCTATACCCATGGATCCAATTGAAGTTGCTCAAGAAGTGGCCTAGGAGGTAGCAAAATGTGGTGAAGATCATAGAGCTATCCTGTCTACCGCAGCCCCAGGCGGTCCAGAAAATGTCGGGAGGGAGCTACTGTTCCTGCCTCAAGTGATAAGTTAGAGCTTGGGGTCTAGGACCCTGCTGCCACTGTGAGCCCCATATGATCTCCTCACTTAGTCTGATCCTTCCCTTTCACTTAACAAATCTTCAAGAGGGTAGGAGCTCTGGAGGGTTGCCGGCGAAGCCCATAAGCGATGCTTTGATCGCTCTGAAGTAGGTTTGTCCACTCTGAAGAACCGTGTAGAGAAAGCTCTATGCTCGATGGCATGATCTGCACATGCTCTTTCTTCTTCCACAAGCAAAGACAAGGCTCTCGTGGACCCACTTCAGGTATAGTCTTGTTTGTTATTTATTTTCATTCCTACTAGCCTAGTCTTAGTCTTTTGCTAATGTTATTTTATTTCCTTCAGTTGGCTACACTGGAGGCAGTACCTACGGACGCTCTTTTCTCCCACATTCATGTCCCTGAAACAGACGTGATATTAGATGCTTGGAAAGTCATCCAATTCCAACTCAGGCACGATCCCTTCCTCATCCCTGAGCAAAATTTCGAGGAAATGATCCAAGTTCTTGAGGCCGTGGTAAAGGCAGTCTCTATGTCTGAGTTGGCATTCCTGTGAGCTCAAGTTCTGGCATGTTATATCATTGTCAGCTAGTACTGCAAAGAACCCCCCTCCTGTTCGAATATTTAAAGAATAACTGTGTAGTAGGGATGACTATTTGACCACCAAGACTTGGATGACTGCTGCTACTGACCGAGTCCAGGAGATTGCTTCCTGTGTTGATAATCTTCAGGCATTACGGGCTAAGTTAGCAGACTTGAGGTGCCAGCTCACAGCGGCTGAAGAAGAGTTGGCTAAGGTTGAGGCTGAAGACGGTCCAGCAGAACCCGAGCTAGAGATTGATACCAAAGTATTAGATGAGGCACCGACTGTCTCGGACGCTAAGCTTTAAGTTATGCTTGAGTTTGAAACAGTCCTCACGAGTCACCATACTCTTTCTGCGGATCTGGACTCGGCCCTATCAATGTGGGAGCTTTTGTGCTGCCTTTGTAAATAGTGTACTTATGTATAAATACACACACATATTTTTTTTATTTGTTTATTCTTTATTCCTTGTAACATGATTCAATGATAATAAAAAACAAACATTTTTTCTCACTGTGAGTTTTGTATGCCTGGAGGCCATTCTAGGCCTCGGGTCCTTTATCCGCTTTCCTATTATAACGACGGCCAATACTTCTTTAAATATTTTCCGTTTATAGGCCGTCTGTGTAGAATTTATCTATGCTAGCTAACATGTACGTGTTCCCTCTATGTACTTCGTCTACCTTGAACGATCCTTCTTAATTAGGTGAAAACTTACCAAGTGTTCGATCTTTAGAACTAGGTGGTAATATAAGTTTTCATACAATCTTGCCTACCTGAAAATGTTTCCGTCTTATCCTCTTATTGTATATTCTTGAAACTTCTTT